CAGAGGCAGAAAAGCTCAAAGGTTTGGGATCTGCTTTGGTTTGGGACCTTTTCTGACATTCCCAACCCTCAGGAGGAGCACAACCACCCCAGGGCTCATTTCTGCCCCTCCACGAGGAACCCACCGAGCTGAAGGGAAGTTTCTGGCCCAAAGGACCAAAGGCTTAAAGCTGCATAATGTGGGAATATCAATCCTTCAGAAATTGTAGAGAAGCACACATTATCCTGCCTCTGCTCTCCTAGCTCTTCATGCTCCCAGTGCAGTACTGGGAACAGTGAGAAACTGCTGTGGGGCTGCAGGGGAGCACACCTACCACAGGGAGAGACATGGAATGATAAAACAGCCTCTCCTGGAAAGCAGGATCACTACAGGAGTACACATTAGTGAAAGTACACTCTATTTGCTTAATTATAAAACATGAAAGCAGCACGTTCAAGTAATTTATCAATAAATGTGACATGAATAAAAACTAAGATGAACTGTAAAAAAAAAAAGGCAGTAAAAGGGGGCTCTGAGCTGCCTCATGAGGTGTTGTTTTCCATAAAAAGATGAGCAGGAAGATTTCTCTTAATGAGCTGTTAACAGAAGAAAATTAGTTCAAGACTTCAGGGCAAGCACTTCTTTATTCCAGGTTTGTACAGTATGGAGTATAAGGAGATTTTTCTTCCTGCTGGTACCTGGTGCTACTGGCAGTTCATAACCCAGGTTTTACATTCATCAGCAGGAATTAATGAACCAAGAAAGAACAAGAGACAGGACAACCCAAGGAAAACTCCAAGCACTGGGGAGAAAAGGGGGTGTGAAACACAGAGCTGAAGAAAGCAGGGAGCAGTAACAGTCTGAGAGCCTGGGGAGGTGGCAGACCCCAAAGGAGACACGAGGCCAACAGCCCCCAGCTCCAGGGACACGGAATTGTGGAGCTGTGCCAGGCCAAGCTCTGAGCACAGCTCACCCCAGAGCACCAGCCCTGCTCCACGAAGGGCTCACCCAGCTGGCACCCAGGGCCAGCAGCTGGAAAGGGAACGAAGTGGATTCCTGCAGGACAGAGGCACAGGAGAGCAGCACAGTGCAGCACCGGGGCTGCCTGCGCCCGGGTGACTCGGTGACAGCAAGGAGCACTGGATTGCCCAAGCAGTGACAGCAGCCCTGTCATTTCACAAGCTGCAGAGCATCTCCTTAGTCATTAGTGACTGCAGAGAAGGAACCATCCTGCCAGAGAAGAGTAACTGCCACACAAGTTCTTTCATCTTGACTTTAGCAATTCTATGAACTTGATTGCTTATTTTCTTAGTTTAACACAGTTAGCAAGATATTTTACATAGATCTAACCCTGCTCTAGCTAAATGTAATCTGTTAAAGTTTCTTGACTCATTTCCAGACACTCCCTCTTCATCCTACAGCCTCTCCATCTCCCCACAGCTCGGGGTGTTCTGTTCTCCCAGTTCAGAGGAGGTGACACCAGCCTCATTTTGGTTTGGTACATACTCTGAGACAGACACTGAATGTGAAGGAGGATGGGGAAGGAGGTGGGAAGAGACCTCAAAGCCCAGCCAGTGCCACCCTGCCATGGCAGGGACACCTCCCACTGTCCCAGGCTGCTCCCAACCCCAGTGTCCAGCCTGGCCTTGGCACTGCCAGGGATCCAGGGGCAGCCACAGCTGCTCTGGGCACCTGTGCCAGGGCCTGCCCACCCTCACAAGGAGGGATTCCTTCTGTGCATCTAATCTAAACTGGAGTTTAGGTATCTAATCTCAAACTCAGTTCTTTCTGAGCCTCTGCTGAAGATAACTGTGACACAGTAGCGAGAGAAAGGAAATAGGCTGTACACCAAACCACAGGTGAGTAACAAACTGAAATTATGTGGCCAAGAACAATTACTGCCACAGAAAAGAAACCCCAGTCACCAAAAACTCCAGACTATTCCTACATCCTCACACAGGGGACTCCAAACACGACACTGCAGCTCACACTCCTCCCAGCTCAGCACACGTTGCTGTGGCCCCTGGAAGCTGCTCGAGCTCTCTCCAGTGCCCAAATCTGCCCACGGCAGAGGTGCTGCTTTCCTGGCTCAGCCCTCAACTCTCAGTACTTCCTCCCTCAACACTGCAAATTTCTGATGATCTGGAGCAAAGAGTAAGAGCAGCGATGATGACAAAAGCCCCAAAGTGAGAGGCTGAGCAGGAAGGGAAGGGAGGGAGGCATCAGGACAGCCACGAGCAGCTTTGGCACCTGTGCCAAGCGCTGGAAACGCAGCGAGGGACACGATGACAGCAGTGCCACCATCACCTGGCCAGAGTGCCTGCTGCCAGGGCTGTCTCAGGCAGTAAGGTCACACATGTCCTGAGTCACATCCGACACGGGAGCACCCACGCTGGAAACACCGGGGCAGCAGCACCCGCCGGCAGCCACGGGAGCAGCTGCTGGCAAATGCCAGCCTGGCACGGGCCAGCTGCAGCCTCAGGACACAGTTCTGCTGCAGCTCTTTGTCCACAAGGCCCCCAGGAAGCAAAATCTGTTTGTGCAGACAGAAATGTGGCATCTTCTCAGGAAAGAACGGGGTCGTAACCGTGCAAAAGCATCTGCGCATTCCAGCTTCCCAAAAAAACATCCCAGACATGCAAGCCATACTTCACTGGGGTTTTAGCGTGGCTTTTCAAGCCCAGCTCACTAGAACTGGCAAGAATGCTAAAGACATAAATATGAATGATTTCTCTGGGTTGCTGTGTGGCTTCTCACACAAAAGCTGACCCAGGGGCTCAGCCTCACTCGCTCAGTGCTTGAGACAAGGAGCAAAGTCATAAAACAAGAACTGCAGAGATGTTTAGAGGAAATATCAGGGACCTGAGACAAATTTTGAGAGCAGAGTTGAAATCCACTCTTTTCTTTCGTTGCTGTTAAACTGCACTGGAGTGCTGGGGGCACTTTTGGGTGCCACAATACAAAAAAAAAATAAAAAGCTGATCCAAAGAAGGGACACAGGGATGGGGAAGAGTGTGGAAGGACCAAGAAGGAAATGCTGAGGGCACTGGGGTTGTTCTGCTGGAGAAGAGGAGCCTGAGGTCAGAGCTCATGGAGGCTACAGCTCCAATCTCTGCTCCTGTGGCAGGAACAGGAGCCAGGGAAGGGCTGGGGCTGGGCCAGGGAGGGTCAGGGGGGATTTTGGGAAAGGTTCTTCTCCAGAGGTGCTGGCACTGCCCAGGCTCCCCAGGGATGGGCACAGCCCGAGGCTGCCAGAGCTCCAGGAGGGCTTGGAGAGCACTCCAGGGATCCCAGGGTGGGCTTTTGGGGCTGTGCAGGGCCAGGAGCTGGGCTGGATGATCCTGTGGGTCCCTTCCAGCTCAGGAGATTCCAGGCTTGTCTCACTCCTGAACACAGGAGAGTCTGCTCTCACCCAGAGCTGCAAACACCCCGTGCAGGAGGCAGCAAATGCCAAAAGTCGACATTGACACGTTAACAAAGCCAAGATATTAATAATGCCAAAAGAGAAATTGTCCCTTTTGCTCCTGACCAACAAGACCAGCCCCAGTCCAACCACGGAGAAACTCCAGTGTGACACTGGGATGTCCCACACGGGGAGGCTGGCAGTTTAATCACGTTCCCCTCATCAGAGGAGCCATGAAATGCCCAATCAGGTGCACAACCACTCCTGCAGACACTTCACCAGCCCCTGTTCTGCAATACCCCCCCAGGCTGCAAATCCCCACCTGCCAGGGACCTGAGAGAAGAATTCAGTAGTTGTAAAGGAACGCCAGGAACTGGAAACACACCTGAGAGATCAGCAGCTGGAAGGGAGCCCAGGTGACAAACACACAGAGCAGCAGCAGCTCAGGGACAGGGGGAAGGGCCCACGGGGGCACCGGGGCCTGGCTGCCTCGGCTGTGCACACGGGGTGTTTAAAACCAGAGAAAAGGATCAAACAAGGCTGTAATGAGGTGAGAGATGAGCTGGGGGCACACACCTGCCCCTTTTCGGGCTCCTTTTCCACAGTGCAGCCCTGCCCAGGCTGGGAGCGAGCTTTGGCACAGAGCTCCCCCAGAATTCAGTGACCTCGTGTCCAGAACAGCACCACGGAGCCAGCACCGGTACTGGCTGCACTCCACACCTCGACACCCGCTGGCTTTGTTTGTTCATTCCGAAGGGAAAAAGGCCAATCTCGGCGCGGAGAGCAGGAGCGCTCCTGGCAGGCCGGGTGCCCCACGGGCAGGAGGCTTTCCACAGCAGCGGGGCCGTGCCCGCAGCCCGGCCGTGCCCCCGGCCCCGGGCAGCCCCGGCCGGCCCCGAGCCGGGAGAAGGAACAAAGCCCTGACGTCAATGACCGGAACAGGATTAAACCCGTCCCGGGCCGGGCGGGCCGGTGCCGGCGGAGCCCGGGCCGGCCCCGGAGCGCCCCCGCCCTCCGCACGCTGTCACCGCGGGGCCGAGCCCCCCACCCCACGTGATCCCGGCAGGGAGAGCGCGCGCGCAGGGGGCGTGGCCAGGGCAGGCCCCGCCTCCCTCGCGCGGTGGTGGCGGGAGAGTCGCGCGGCGCCCCCTGGCGGCGGCGGGCGGACGCGGAGCCCCGGAGCCGAAGGGGTTAACGAGGCAGCCCGGGAAGAGCTCCGGTTAACGGGGCTTTCATCGCACCAAAACCGCCCCAGCCGCCAGCACGGCACGCGGAAGGCACCGCAGATGGACCGGGCAAGGCCGGAGTAACCACGGGGGTTACTCTGTAAAATAACAACGCCTCGAGACAAAGTAGCCAGAAAAGGCAGGAAGAAAACAAAAAGCCAGTACAAACATTGTATTTGAAACTAAATTAAACAAAAAAATCTTGATAGCGAAGGGCTTCTGGCTGGAGAACTTCCTGGGGAGCAATCCTGCCCCTCTGTGAGGGAATGCCAGGGCAGCTCCAGCTGAAACCTGCACCAAGCACCACAAATGTTTTAGATATTTGCAGTAAGCCTCTGGTGTTTAATAATTGATTCACTTTCCCATCGAATGGCACATTCACTCCACAAGACTTGAACACCTTTCTGGTAGTTTTATTTACAGCCTGCAGCGTGTTCTGTAAAACACAGGAGTGCTCACAGACAGACACACAACATGGGGATTTTCAAACATTTAAATACGTACAGTTTATTCCAAAGTAAGTCTACACGCTAGTCTTTCCATAAAAATATAAAAAATTGTTTAGTAACTGTATTTAACCTAAATCAGGATACTTGAGAATTCTTCCTCAAGTGATGCCCCCTCCCCAAAAGGGCACTCCAAGGATAAGAAATTCAGGAGACTGCATCACCAAATAAAACACTAACTGCAACTGCTTCAATCCACCAGACAACTCCCACTCTGCATCCAGCAATCCCTGCTCTGCAGCGTGTTTGGATCTGCTTTTGTTGGGTTTGTGGGGTTTGCACTCACTTGCTGCTCCAGGGCCATTCCCACAAGCAAAGAACGAGGGGATTCCTGCAGACTGGAGGCAAAGAACGAGGGGATTCCTGCAGACTGGAGGCAAAGAACGAGGGGATTCCTGCAGACTGGAGGCAAAGAACGAGGGGATTCCTGCAGACTGGCACCCAGCACAGCTGGCAATCCTGCATTCACACATTCCTCGGGAAGCACATCCAGAGGGGAGCACTTTCCCTTGAGACCTTCCCTTCAGGGAGTCTCTTTTTACTGAGCATCCAGAGAGAACAGTGCCCAGCTGTGTTTGTAATGAATTCTCTGGTTTTGCTGCCCATGTAACAGATGGGGATATTCTGCTGGAGCTGTGCAGAACACCCACCCCAGCCCCTGTCTCTGGGGTACACTGAATTTACAGAAAAAAAGGCACAAAGATGAAACTGCTAAAGCAGCAGCAGCCCCGATTCAGTGAGCTGCAGCTCTGCCACACCAGCCCCGTGTCTCAGCAACAGCTCCAGCACAGCACCAAGCACACAGGGCAGGCAAGGGCAGCACAAGCAGACACTGAGCAGGACAAACCTACACAGCTCAGCGGGTGGTGCAGTGCAGACTGGAGCTGGAAGCTGCAGGAAAAGCCACTGGAACACAAGCTCAGCAGCACAGAACCTCAGTGAGGTGGGAGGATCTGTGTGGGACATGGTGGACATTCAGGTTCAACAATGCCAGAGCTCCACAGCAGCACTGAAAAACTTCTGCTTTTAACAGTTTAGAGGATTTTTCTCAATGGAAGTGAAGCTGTCATTAACAGAGGAACAGCACATGATGCACAGCATAATCTGCAACAACAACAAAAAAAAAGCTTTTGCTTTGCAGCATGTAAACATCCAGCTTTAGCTGCTACTGGACTTCAGCTCTTATAAACAAATCTGATGATAGAATTTTTTTTTTTTTTTGGGAGCTAAAAAAGTAAAATCTTCCATAAAAGGATAAACCACAAAAATACTCTCTCAGTAAGTCTCACGTGCCATTTAATCCCTTGCATGTCCTATGAACAACTATGCAGAACACTAAGGAATGGGAGCAGCAGAAGGGTTGACCACTGGCAGCCGTGTGCTCCAGCCCTGGCAGGGCAGTGTCACTCGCTCCAACCAGTCCTGCACCTCCCCAGCTATTTCTTCTTCTTCTTCTTTGGGGGCTCATCCTCAGAGCTGCTGTCTGTGCTGCTGCTGCTGCTGCTGGAGGAGCTGGAATCCGACTCGAAGTCGGAGGAGGAGGAAGAGCTGCTGGAGGAGGGGGAGGAGGAGGAGGAGGAGTTGCTGTCCTCACTGTCACTGTCCGAGGAGGAGGAGGAGGAAGAGGAGTCGTCGCTGTCGGAGGAGGAGCTGCTGGCTGAGCTGTCACTGCTGCTGCTGCTGGAACTGGTCACACTCTTGGACCTGAGAGAGAACAAAGAGCTGAGCACAGCCCTGCCAGAGCCCATCGCACACAGAGCGTTCCCTCTGCTCTGGCGCAATAACCCAAAGATCAGTTATTTGCCTTGAAAATTTCCACACCTCACCACCAAAATTTCCAGGCCTCACCAGCTCAGATGAATCCCTGTGCCCTCCCCTCCCTTCTGCACTCCTGGATTTGTGGATTTTGGCCACTTGAGCAATGGCAGAGTGGCCCCAGGGCGTGACATAACCCATAGGGGAGCAGAGAGGGGCAGGGAGGCAAAGCTGCCCAGGATCCCTGGCCCTGAGCAGGGCCTTTGCTGGCCTGAGTGCCCTGAACCAGCCAAGCCTGGGGGAACGAGCCAGGCTCAGTCCCTGCCTCACCACTGCAGGAGCCAGGGAAGCTTCAGCAGAGATTCACCAAGGTCAGAGCTGCTCCCAGCAAAAACTGTTCTTAGATTACTCCTGGCAGAGGAACCCAAATACCTGCCACTACAGGATGCTTGTGTTTTCCAGGTGGAGGAGAAGGGTGGAAACAAGCCAAGGTTAAGACAGAATGATGAACACAGCAAAGAGGATTTCTGTAGGCTCTGCACTTTTTTTTCATGTTCAGCCCTTCCTGGGGCCATTGTTCTCAAGACCAATGTCTGATTGAGGGAGGTGATATGAATTCCAAGAAAGTACAGTTCAATTCTCCCAGAGATCTTTCCCTGAAGTACAAGACACTGATTCACCTCCCTTCCCACCAAAGGCAATCAAAGAGCATCCCAAAATGTAAATTATGATAATGCAGAATCTTGTTTCCATTAGAAAATTAATGCAGTATTTTTATCAGAGGGTTTGGGTCAATGTAACAGCTCAGGAAGTGCCTGTGTTAAGGTTATTGAAGACTGTGAGGTTTTTTCATCATATCAGCCCTGTCAGCTGACAAATGTGGGTGTGGATTAAGCCACAAAGCACTGAAGTTGTTATAATACATCTGTAATCTGCTGTCTCTGTGTGCAGACACAACGACTGTTCATTACTGATAAATCCACAAGGGCTGCTCAAACACTGACTTGTCTGGGGGAAAAAACAGCACTAAGATGAGGAAAATAAAAAATATGGGAGTAGCACTTTCAATCTGAGCAGTTCCATGAGATGGGCAGGAATGAGAGGATATCCTGAGTAACTGAACTTGCTTTTCCTGATCACCTTTCAGAGAACCCATAGCAGCAACCCATGGACATCCAGTGTTTAGGATTATTCCACTCCCAGAAACATCAGGATATTGCACTTAAAGCTGCCTCTCCCAGAGGAAACAGGCAGGAACTTGTTCTGAGGGGAGGCACCACGTGGGCTGCTGGTACTGACAGCAGGAGGATGGAGATGGGGACAGGTAAAACTCAAAATACCATCTGGGAGTGTGACAGTGCAGAGCCTGCAGGCTGCTGATCTCACATTGGGGGGTTTATCACACCTCTGGAAAGCACAGAGTTTTAAAAGCAGGTACCATTCATCCTCCTCAGGACAAGCTTCCAAGAGTTCTGGTTCTGTGTCCCTGTGAGGGCCAAGTGCTGTTGGAGCCCAGGCTGTGCCCCCAGGCTGGCACCCTGCTCTGCCACCCCAGGGCTTGCCAGTGCCACTGACACCCAAAAGCCACAACTGTGGGCACAGCCACTGCTGGGGCTGAGGAGAGGGGGAAGGAAGGAGCGGGGAAGGAAGGAAGCAGCGGGGAGGGAAGGAAGGAAGCAGCGGGGAAGGAAGGAGCGGGGAGGGAAGGAAGGAGCGGGGAATTGAGGCATTCTGGGTGGGACACAGGCCAAGCAGCGCCTGGAAGGTGGCTCTGTCACCCGAGGTCACAGGGCTCTGCAGCAGCTGCCCTGCCTCAGCCTGTTTTTCTGGTTAGGCCTGAGCTCCCTTGTTAGTGTTTATATCAAAACAAACACACTCTGTGGAAAAGGTTGTGCTCCTCCTGCCAGAACCCAAGCTTTTACAGCTTTATTTTAAATCTGGAACTTATAAATATGCTGGATGGACTCAGGCAGAAATAGGAAGAATTTTATTCCTACAGCAAGATCATGCAGGGGAGGAAAACCAGCAGGGAGAAAAACAGAGAATAAAATTTGGAGAGAATTTAGACAGGGAGGAGTAGAAATTCTCCATATGCCTGTCAGACAAAAGCTGTAACAGCCTCAAAGCAGTACAACCAAAACTTATTGCACAGCTGACTTTTGCAACCCCCTTCCCAAAGCCCTGCTGGAACAGCCAGGGCAGGGCCAGTCCCACCAGGGCAGAGCCAGTCCCACCAGTGCTCACATACCTTTTTTTCTTGGTCTTCTTTTCTGCAGCACTTTCTCCAGCGCTAATTAAGGGGGGAAAAATAATGGCTTTGATTAATGCAATAGGAAAATGAAATAAATAGCAGCACATTGAGGCTGAGTTTCATATTCAAAGGGCACTCAGTCCTGTGCAAAGCAGAGCAAAACCCACCTCTGAGCCAGGGGAGGAAAACCCAGCAGTTCACCCCTAATTTTCTGTGCTATTTGTGCTCTGCTCTCCCTTTTGCCTCATTTTGTACAGACAGCAGGAGCTGGGATGTGAAAGGCACAGGAGAAAAGGACACAAAGAAGTTGTGTGTAACTATATTTAGCAATAAGTGAATTGATTGAAATCAAGGGTAAAAGCTTGACTTAGCCTGTAGCTTTCACATTTCTTTCAAGTGCAAAAAAGAAACAGAAAAGTCCATTTATATTGATGCTTTCCAGCTGTGTGTCTGTCAGGTTCCCAAGTGTTCATCCCCTCACACAGGTTTAGTGGTGTCACAGAAGAAAGTTCTTTGTGTGCCACCTGCAAAATGAGATTTCTGCAATTTTTAATTTTCACACACAAGGTATGAAAACATTATCAGCACACAAGAGCTCTCCTGTGGGCAAGGGGAAGACTCTGACATTCAGATTCCAGCCCCTCCCATCCACATTTACATTCCTAAGGCCTCAAACCCTCTGCAGGTAAGCAGGGGGTTCCCAGGTAGGAGGAGTCACTGTGAGAACAGAATTCAACCCCAAATCCCCTCTGAGGAGACAGACCCAGCTCAGGGAGTGCCTCCCTCTCAGTGTCAGGTGAGGGTTACTCAGCAGTTACTCCAGGAGCTCCTACTCTGCCCAGGCCAGCCCTGCTCTGGACACTCCCTGCCCAAACTGAGGCACAAACCCAGCTCAGGGCTGGGCTGAGCTCCAACCCCCCAGGAACGAGCATCCCTCAGCTCCCTGCTCAGGGCTGGCAGGCACTGGGGCTCACTGACACCTCCAGAGGGGCCACCAGAACCGTGGGGCCAACACCAGGCAAGCACAGGCAGCCTGGAACAACTGGGAAGGGAGTTCATGCTGGAAAAGCCTGGGGGAGGTTATCAGAGGTAAATATTGACCTTTTTAGGCTGGGTTTGCCTCCTGGTTAATGATTCCTGCGTGGCTCTTTAAAGGTGGTGACACAGGCTGTCCAGAGCAGACCTCTGGGACACCCAACTGCTCAAAGGCAAGGAGAACCTCCCAAAGCAAGTGCCACAAAAAGCACAAGTGTGACCCAGGAAGTTGTTTTTCCATGATGGAAAAGCTTCATCCTTGGAAGTGCAGCCCTGGCAGCTGAGGAACAGGATCCTCCTGGCACAGCTGAGGAGCTCATGGTGACAGAAGCCCTGGGAATGCAGCCCCAGGTTGAACTGCAGGTTAAACACTGCTCCCACCTGGGGATGGCTCAGGCTTCCCTTCTCAAGAGGATTTTCCCCAGCACTGCCCCTCACTGAAGAGCCCCAAACCTCCTTTTGTGCCAGACTGGCCAGTCCTGTAACTCCCACACACTGATCCCACACTCAGGCTCAAGCCCAAGGACAGGACAAGGAATTTCACCCTCAATCCACCACCCTCCAGTGGTAACCTGCACAATCCCCCAGAAAAGGGACAGAAAAGCAACAAGGAAATAATCTGAGCCTTAAACTCAAACTGAGCCTAAAAATCTTGAGTCCCTGTAGAGACTCTGCCTCCAAACGGAGCCAAGTGTCAGAGCCCAAGCACTGCTGATCTATCTACAGCACTGGGTGACTCTAATTACACCACAATTACTCACTGGATGAGAATTAATTTCAGAATCAATCACTCTGCATCACTCTCCACTGCAGGCAGGGTTCCAGCTGTGACTCAGAACTGCTGCTGGGCTGGAGCCCCAGCAGCCCTGGCTGAGCTGCCAGCCCTCCCTGTGCCACAGCAGGGACAAGAGCTGGCAATGCTGTCCCCACCTCCCTCCTGGCAGGGGCAGTGCCTGAGGACACGTGGCCAAGCCTCAGGGATTCCAGGTGCCAGGAGTGGCACTGGGACTGACCCTGTCCCTGTGCAGCTCCCAAAACCAAACTGGAGGGGCAGAAAGCACCCTGACACGTGGAATTGCAGGGAAAACTGAGGTGCTGCATTACTTTTGCTTGTTAAAACAATTATTAACCTGGGGGAAGCACTCAGGTACTCCCAGGGCAAAGGGGAAAGGAAATGAGGTGCCACAGGCAGAGCTCTGTTCAGGTTTCTCTGCTCCTTCCCCTTTTGGGTTGCCACAAGAGGAAATAATTGTGCAATCCAGTGAGCTGTTCTCACTCCATGCCTGGGTGTGAGCTGCTGACCCAGCTCCCCCTCAGCTGTGTGACCCTGCAGCTCCCAGGGGCAGCTGGGCCAGGTTCAGCTGCAGCTCTGAACAGCAGATCTGGACACAGGTAAGAATTGCTGCTTTGCTGGATAAACCCACAATAAACCCACAGCTTCCACTGCCCGGGCAGCACAGAAACAACAAATCAAACCACCAAGGAATTCAGGAAACTGCTCCACTACCAAAAGGGCTCCAGCTGACTGAACTTTGGCTCAGTGCACAGCTTTTGTTTCAGACAGGCCAGAACAGTTTTAAATGCATTTCAGATGAGCAGGTGTTGACAAAATTTAAAAATTGATTTTAATTCTCTGGACCTGAGTGTACATATTTCACCTAACACAAATCAGCTCTAACATTAAATCAAGCACACATTCCACAGTCTGGAGAAAAAGATCACAGGAAATGGTCTGGGACAACATCTTTTATTTCAATGACAAACCACACATTTCATCTAGCCAGTCTTACCTCTGTTGCAGCAGGAGCTGCTTTTCTTTCTCCTTAAGGATTTTGGCCAGCTGAGCTGTCCTTGAAGGCCTGTGCAGGTATTTTCTCTTCCCTTTACACTCATAGGTCCAGTGGCCAAACTCTAAACACTTCTGACACCTCACATGCTGCTTGTTTGCCTCCCTAGAAAAAGGTAGAATTGCTTAAGTAACTCATTCCAGCTCTGCTCTACCCTCTACTAAAAACAGTTAGTTTTTTATCATGCAGCTTTAATCAAGCTGTGATTAAACCAGATGCTCACAGGTTTTCTTTTGCATCAGGACATGGGCAGTAACAGCAGGCAAACACAGAATTCAGGCAGACAGATCTTCATTAATTAAAACACTTGCACGTGGGAACAATCACTGCTCACTTTGCTGCTACCCAGCAGCTGCAGGTGGGTCTGGCTTCAGAGAAATCACTGAAATTCTGGTTTAGAGCAAGAGCAGCAGCTTCATTTCCAGCTCCTGAAATGTAACACCCAATTCCAAACTGCCCAACGCCCACCCAGAGCCCAGAACCCTCAGAGGCCCCCAGGCTCCCCAGAAAGCTCCAGGAAAAGCCTGGCACAAGGTTTATCTTTGGGACACTCAGATCCCTGCTCCTCCTGTGCAGAGTGACTCTGGGCAGAGCTCCCTGGCTGCCCCGTCCCCAGCACCTGCAGCAGCAGGGACACTTCACACTCCGGGGCTCTGCTAAAATCCCACGGGCATTTTTAGACATCAGAGGAGGAAAAACTCCTGTTTTCATGCTGGAGCTCTTAAGCTGCTCTTCCGAGGCTCTGCAAAGCTGTTCTGCCCCCTGTCCCAGCTGCTCTCCTCCCTTACAAAGGAGGGAACTCAGCCAGCCCAGGAGCTGCCAAGGTCACAGCCAAAATTAGTCCCGAGCTCAGGGCTGAGCCACTTCAGCTCCCTGCCATCTGCAGGTTTTGTTCCAAGCACCAAAACATGAATTTCTCAAGGCCAGGCGATCTAAACTCTCTGAAAGTGCAGCGGGCTGACGGAGGATGCTCCCAGGTTCCTCCCGGCAGCGCCCAAGGCCAGCAACTCCCCCAGCCCCTGCCCGCCGCTCTCGCGGGACGCCCTGCGCAGAAAGGGCCCCCCGCGACCCTCGAGTCCAAGCCCCGGCGGCGCACGGACACCCGAGGCCGCCGCCGTTTCTCCCCAGCCGTGTTTTGGGGCGGTTTCCCCGCAGCCGAGCTGCGCCCCCTTCCGGGACTCAGCGCAGCGGCGCGGAGGCCGGGAAAGCGCCGGGCGCCGCGGCCCCGGCAGTGCCCGCCGCCCCCCAGCCCGAGCCCGCCCCGCGCGGCGCCCCCGGCCCCACTCACGCCTGTCTGCGGGCAATCAGCCGGTGCATGGGCGTCGCCATCTTAACGGCCGCGCCGGAAGCCAGCGTGCCGCGGGAACGACGGGACTAGCGCGGCCGCGGGGAGCGACGGGACATGCGGCCCTGGGGGCAGAGCGCGGCCGCCATTGAGAGAGTCCTCCGGGGTCATGGCGGATTAGACCTCCAGGGTCATAGAGAGCGAGACCTCCCGCACCATAGAGAGCTCCCCCGCGGCCTGCGCTCTCTATCGCCCCTGCCGCTCCCGCCACGTCATTGCAGCGCCCTGGCCCGGTGGCTTTTTGTGTCCATGTCCCTGTCCCCGTCCCGTCCCTGTCCCTTTCCCTGTCCCTGACCTGTCCTGTCCCTGTCCCTGTCCCGTCCCTGTCCCTTTTCCTGTCCTGTCCCTTTCCCTGTCCCTGTCTTGGATACTTTGCGGTCTGTTCGGTGGGCACTCATCCAGCTCTGACGGTTTAACTTGGAAAGCCATGCTGTCTAATTCTCTCTGATTTGATGGAAAGCTATGAAACCCGAAGGAAAGGAAATGTATCATTTCAGTATTGATTTCCCGCAAATCGCGGAGCTAACGGAGGCGGTGAAGCGGCTGCTGGGCACCGTGGGCAGCACAGGGAGGCGGGTTTGGGAGAGCTGTGCTGTGTGTCGGAGCTGGGGCAGCCTGGCTGCAGGTGCCTGGGTGGAGGGGGTCACAGAGCCCTCTCCTGCTGAATCCCAGAGCAGCCTGGTGAGCCTCAGGTCAGTGAGGGCTATTTCCAGCCCGAGGACCAGCCTGTGACACACAGGGATTATTTTAAGCCCACGCGGGCGGTGGTGTTTGGCTGGCATTAATGAATCCCCAGGCTGAACTGGGGTTGCAGCTCTGAGGCTGGAGCTTTGGCAGGACACTGGGACACACCGTGCTCGTGGATCTGCTGCTTCTGCAGGCCACAGGACCGGGAGGCTGCTGGCTGTGCCAGGACTGCCCACGAGTAAGTGTGAGCAGCTCTGGGGCTGCAGGCTGGGCTCAGGAGTGCCCCTGCCCTGAGTGAAGGCCAGGCTGGGCCCGGGGCTGGCAGGGCCCCTCTGCCCACCTCCCTGCCGTGCCCAGCCAGCAGCCCTGGCACGTCCCAGGGTCCTGTGCCAGCCCGGGGGCAGCCCTGGCGCTCAGATCCCCTCTGGCACCGCGCTCTGCTCCCTGGCTCCCTCTGGAAAAGCCGAGCAAAACACCTGAGAGGGAGCTGGGCTGCACATTCCCCACGCGGGGCAGCAGCCAGGGCAGTCCTTGGCACCGTCTATAACACTCAGGGGATGCCTGGGAGGCTGCAGGGGACAGAGCTCAGGGATAAAGCAGGATTTATTGAAAGCCCTTCCCAGGACACACCCTGGGCAGTGCAGGAGCCCGGCCGTGGCTCCACCCCACAGGGACTCCTGGCCACGAGTTCTCACTCTTTGATCAGTTCTGCTCCATTCCCACACTGGGTTCAGTGTCCCATTCCAGCCCCAGGTGATGCAGTCCCACCCTCCCAGGCTGCTCTCCTCCATCCCCTGTGGTTGGCACTTTTTGGGCTGCAGCTGCAGCGGTGTCCTTGGTTCTGGGCTGGAAAAGGATTGTTCTGTGTGCCTGAGCTGTGAGGAGAGCTGCTGGCACTGGGTGTGGAGTGCAGAGTTCTGCACCAGGGCAGTGCAGAGCTGGGAAATACCACAGCTCAAGCTGAGGGCTTCACAAGGATGCTCGAGGTCAATCACTTCATTAATATCATGTCATTAGCACGGTGATGCAATTCCCGAGGCAATTCCCAGCCCATTTCAGCTGCCAGAGCGGAATGGCTGAGCCAGGCAGTGGCTCTGGGGCAGGAGCCCCTCCTGCCTGCCCCAGTGAGTGACTCTGGGTGTATTTTCTGTGTCACTAAAGCAAGGAGCAGCCGTGTAAATACAGCAGTGTTTGTGACACGCTGCACTGCCACAAAGTTTTTAGTGTATTTCATCATGGAATTAAAAGTATTTGTAAACATTCAGTTTAATGAAACTCACAGATGTGAGTATCAAGGTTAGGTTTGTGTTAGGATGAATGCACCAATCCCTCGTGCTTTCATCCCAAAATGCTTCCCTTGGCAGAACCCTTCACACTGCCCAGGGGAGCAGCTCCATGTCCACTGCCCCCTTCACTGCTGGGACCAGGGGATGTCCCAGGAACAACTAGGGATTTAAAAAATAAAATAAATTGTTTAGCTCTTTAAGGATCCCTGATCCTTCAAAGGACTTTTCTCCCACAACCCACAAAGCATTTGGTGGCCAAACACTGCTCTGGAAAACACAACGTGTCTGTACTCATCCCGGCTGCAGCAGAGGGCCCCAGTGAGATACAGTAATATTAAAATATTCTGTGATGATTATAGACCAAGTGTACTGTAAATCCTATTGCACATAAAGCAGTCAAATGCTGAATTTTATTGGGAGCACGGTTGATATCAAATTATCTTTTAACACAATCTCAAATTCTGACACCTTGGATTTTCAACCTGGGATCATCAAAACCAGCCTTGCACTTTCTGCTGTAATTCAGGAACAATCAGAACACCGAATTCAGAACGGTTTGGGCTGAAAGGACCCTAAAGCTCACCTCACTGTACCCCTGCCATGGGCAGAGACTCCTTCTGCCACCCCAGGTGCTCCAATTCTTGCCCAGCCTGGCCTTGGACATCTCCAGGAATGTCTGAATTTCAAAAGAAAATTTCTAAGGAGGCGTTTAAGTCGTTTTCTGCAAAAACTGTGTCTCCAGAGGCTGTACTTGTATTATCATTACATCCCACGGCGTGCGCGCTGTTCGATCCGCCACATCTGTGCCCCTCAGGTCCATGAAGGGCAAGGAAAAAGTTTCACTGAACAACTTTTCTGTGGCACCGACCGCTCCGGGCTGAGGGCAACACCTCAGCGACCTTTGCAGTGCTGCCAAGCTGTGCCTTTATGGCCTTTTTCTGCCATTCCTGACGCGCGGAAAGACCCTTGGCAAAGGGAGAAGGCGCCGGGCGCCCTCAGAGCCCGCCCAGAGCGCCCGCCCTCAGCGCCGCGCTCTCGCGAGATCTCGGGCGCGCTCAGCGCCGGCGCGGCCGCGGCCCGACGGGATCTTTCGAGAATTGCCGGCACCGCGCTCCCCCCTCAGCGCCGCCGCCATGTCCGTGGTGGGCATCGACCTGGGCTTCCAGAGCTGCTACGTGGCTGTGGCCCGCGCCGGCGGCATCGAGACTGTCGCCAACGAGTACAGCGACCGCAGCACGCCGTGAGTGAGCCCGGGAGCCGCGCGGAGGCGGCGGCGAGGCGCCCGCGGGGCCCGGCGTGGCGGGGCCGGGGAGGGAGGGAAGCGGCGGGGCCGGGGGGAGCGGTGTTATAAAGTGCTTACGGAGATGCGGTAAAGCGCGCCAGACGCGGAGGGGGCTTCGGGAGACCCGCTCAGCTGCCTTTCGTAGAATTACTGAATTATAGGATGCTAAGGGGTGGGAAGGGACCTTAAAGCTTATCCAGTTCTACCTCTCTGCAATGGGCAGGAACACCTTCCACCAGGTCGCTCCAAACCCCGTCCAGCCTGGCCTCGAACACTTCCAGGGATGGAGCAGACACAGTTTCTGTGGGCAGTCTGTGCCAGTGGCTCCTCATCCTCGCAGGGAAGAATTTCTTCCCTACATTTCATTTAAATTTCCCTTCTTTCAGTCTGAAGCCGTTCCCCCTTGTGCTGTCAGTCCAGTTGCTGATGCAGTTCCTCTCCGGGTTCCCTGCAGCCCCTTGGGACGCCGCAGGACGCTGCGAGGTGCCCGCACACCCTTGTCATTCCCGGCTCCCGCAGCCTTGCGGGGCAGCCCGGCCGGTTTGTCCCCCCGAGGCGGGGCTGTGCCCTGGGGATCAGAAGGACGGGGGCTGTGAGTGCAGAGAAAAGCATGCCTGGCTGCTCGAAGCGGCAGCCTGAATTCCCTGTGTGTTCAGGTAGCACGGCTGCCATTCCCCTGCTGTCCCCCCTGGGCTGGTGCCGCGCTTGGTGTGAGCCGTGCCTTGTCCTGGGAGCAGAGTTTGGAAAGCTGCTCAGCAGCCTGCAGTGCTAGGACGAAGGGAATGACTTCAAAACCGACAGAGAGGAGGTCAGGATTGGATCTTGGGAAGAAATTGTTCCTTGTGAGGATGGGCAGGCCCTGACACAGGGTGCCCAGAGAAGCTGTGGCTGCCCCTGGATCCCTGGCAGTGTCTAAGGCCATGCATGAAGCTCAGAACAACCAGATAGAGGGGGTGTCCCTGCCCATGGATGAGCTTTGAGGTCCCTCCCAGTCCGTGATTCCATGATGCAGTGTGGTCAGTATATTCTAGCCCTGCTTGTGTAGTGATCCCTCCTACCACGTTCTCAACAGGAGCGTGCATTGCCTCTGTTTATTAGGGAGCTTCCTGAGAAGGAAGGAGAGAGCTGCTATAAAACTCTATGAATGGCTTGCAAAATGAAAGTGGAAAAAAAAACTGCATCAGACCTGGAGAGGAACTGTGGGGAAAGCAGTCCTAAAAGTGTTTCTGGAGCTTCCCCTCTGCTGCAGTGTGGCTTTACTTAAGCAGATCCTGAAGTGGCTGTCTTGGTGAGACAGCTGCATCATGTTTGAGGTTTTTCAGACCCCTCGCATCACTTCAGAAAGCCCAGAGTGACCTTGCTTCTCATTAGACAGTACATCACTGTTTGCTTTTTGCTGTCTCTGAGCAATGAATAAATGGAGAAGGAAATTTTGAATTCAGCATGTGTGCCCGAGTATCTGGAGATCTCCTAAGTGTTTTCAATAACGTGGAAATTTAAAGGTTAGATGTACTGGGAAAATATTGAATGTAGAGAGGATCAGAGCTGGGTTCTAATAGCTGTAGGTATTTGGCCCTCAGGGGGTTGAAGTTCTGCTGATAAATATATCTGTATATTTGAGATGTGAACACAAATTCCCTTGTTGAAGGAGATGAGCTAAATAAAATATCTGACATCTTGCATCTCTTGGGAAATAACTCAGTTATGGGAGCCTGAAGGGAAATTGGAAAAAATGAGCATAATGCAAATGAGAGGGTTTTAGCAGGGCTTAATCTCCAGGTGCTGTTCTGAGGGAATGCAGAAAACCATTCTGCAAGCAGACCCTTCTATTAAAAGAACTTCTGCGTGGTTTTTGAGTGAGCTGGAATCAGCAGCCTGGTTCTGAATGGTGCTGAGCAGTTG